CGTTACATTTGAATAGGATCTTGCATGTCTAATACTCCGCCATCTAATTTGGTAGTCAGTTTTCTTGTCTTTCAAGCCCCATACATACTTGCTTAGCTCAGTGGAATTTCTATAACGTTCATTTCTAAAGGAGCAAGTGTGGTTTCTGTAACGCGATTTGAATGATTTGTCACAAACACCGAGGTAAGTTTGCTTCGAATTCCGCTCGTTGCAATTTCCGTCCATAGGGCAGGACCTTTTGTCGCGGCAGTTGCAAGTGTTGATAGTTTGAACTGGTAAGTTTGTTGACCTGCTAATGACGGCTTTATTGTGGTTCGAGATAATGGCTTTTACGTTGTTCATGCAGCTATAGCTAAGTTTGAGAGTGTTCCGGTTGAGAATTTTGTGCAGAGGATTTGAATTGGGAAAGTGTTTGTCGATTAAGGTGAGGAAGCACTTTCCAACTTTGGTTTTGACATTTTGGCTGTACGGAGGATTGAACCAGATGATGTTTCTGGGCCTATTCTTGCGTTGTTTGGTGTCTGGGGAAGGTTTTCTGTAGGTGAGATTGTAATTGTAGCCGCTCTTGTTGAGGGCATCTTGGTAGTCGGAAGAAATTTCTGAGAGGCGCTTGTTTATGGATTCCGGGATATTTTTTAGGATGGATGGCGGATGATTGGATTTCTTGTGAACATAGAGTGGGATGTTTCCTTCTTTTGTGTAGGGGTAATGCTTGCCAGGTTGGAGGTCAAGGGTGACATCTAAAAAATTGACTTTAGTCATGTTGGCTTCGACTGTGATTTTTAAGTCGTTTTCTCGGAAAATTTGGCAGAAACCCTTCTTGATTTTTTCGATCTGTTGGGGCTTTGTGTTGAACGCTGCTAAACCATCGTCTCTGTATAGGTCGATGCTGTTGCCATACTTTTTGGTTAGGCAGGACAATAGATAGCAACCCACTAGCGCACATGTTTCAGCGCCATCGAAAGATCCCATTGTTACGTCAAATCTGCTGGTAGAAGATTTTTTCTCCCAGGGGCAATCATTGGAAAATAGCAGGGATTGCTTGGAGAGAAAAATGATTTCCCTTTCATCTGCGCTGATGGGTCTGTAGGTAGTGGCGAAGTCAAGTGCTTTGGAGAGAAGTTTTTCGGTGATTGAGGGGTAGAAGCCACATACATCAAAACATATGAATGAGAGGTTTTATATATATATATAATATAAAATGAAATGACGAAATTCAAATTGATCGTCAACTAAAAAGTGCTCAATGGGTTTACCAGAGCTTTGAATAGATACGTAGACTTGAACTGGGTCAAAAACATTTACTTGCTACTCAGAGTTTCATGCTTCATGAGACGCAATCATCAACCCAGCCTATTATGAATCGCTACTGCTTTCTTTCAAAATCACTCTAATAAAACACCAACATGTATTGTTTCTTTTTGGCAGTTGCCTGATGATTGCTTCTCATAAAGAATGAAACTCTGAGTAGCAAGTAAATGTTTTTGACCTAGTTCAAGTCTACGTATCTATCTATCTATCTATATATATATATATTTATATATATATATTTTACTTGGGATGGTTTTGGGGAAGTAAGGTTAAATGTAATGAAAATTGTAAACGATAAGTTTTGTTCAGTAAGGATTTTGTTTACAAATGTAACGCTTCCCTACATGTCACACATTATCGGTGTTGGTTCATTGTAAAATAAAGCTTACTGTAAAACCCATTGTTGCTCAAGGTGTAAAGGCTGATCGGCTGTCCTCATTCCGTTGGAAAGATATTCTTGACATGCATTGTACAGATCGTGTAACTCTTGCTGCCTATCGTTACATCGAAGAAGATAATCTTGACTGTAAACATCAAGCGTTGCATCTCCTGATCTCTTTTTGAAGCATCAGCTAAGCATCGCCAGTCGGTGTTTCCTCTTTTCATCGGTTTCGTTTGCAGTGTAATTGTAGTATTTTGTCGCTGCCTCTGTACATGTTTGTAGTCGCTGTGTTGACGACGTTGCCTTCGCTGTGCTAAGCGATGTTCTCTCTGCTCCGCGGTTTCTTGTTGTCATCTCAAGTTCTTCTCCGCTGGCGATGAATTTAAAGTCGGCGTTCTCGTATGGCGCGTTTTTACGGACAAAATATCGAAATATCATTACATCAATGTCATGTGTACACTCATCCCTGTTATACTGAAAACATTCATGTTATGTGCAATGAAAGACGTTCGATGCAACGTTATACAAGCAAAAGATATTCGATAACACAAAAAGATATTCCGTAAAACTAAAAGATGTACGATAAAACTAAAAGACGAGGAAGCCAACGTGATACAAGTATAAAAAGATGTTCGATAACACAAAAGATATTCGTTAAATTTAAAAGATGTACGATGAAACTAACCGAGATGAAGAAGCGGAAATGATTGCAACTAAAAGATGAAAAAGCGGATGAGAGATGAAATGGCTTTGGCGATAAAGCCTGGGGACTAAATGATTACTGACAAGATGGCGGGTCGATAAGAGAAAAACATGCAAGGTGCACGGATTTGGCTTCCTAATTTCGAGGAATATTTTGTTTCTTTGGGTAACTTATTTAAGTGCCCAAAGATAAGGACAAACCGCGTCGTATGACTCTGCGGAGTTACCGTATCCTCGAATAATAGCCGGGGCGATTCTTTTTTCGCATCAGAAGGGGGCGATTATTCGAGGGAGGCGATTATTTCAAATATTGCTCACTGGAAGTCGTGCCCTAAATATTTTGTTTTATTATCCTATTAAATCAAAAAATTGTCACTTTAACTTTAACTTAACTTTATTACATATCACACGCTCACATCAAATAAGAGTTAGAACACAGTGCGAGCCAGCGAGGCATGCTAAAGAAAAATAGAAAAAAAAATCGAAAAAGAAGTAATACGAAAGAAGTAACCGAAAGCTAACCCCCCAAAAGCGCTTAACCCTAATCCGTAATAAAAGTGTTTCAACCCTAAAGAGCACTTAACCCTAAGCCGTAAAGCGAGTGCTTAACCCTTAGTCAGTAAAATTAGCGCTTAACCCTAATCAATGAAAGTCGATCAATGCTACAGCGTAATTCTGCAAAAAATATTCCATCAGCAAAACCTCGCATACCCACAGGGAACTAAGCAGGAAACATTTTTCATGCATTTACAATTTCATAGAACTGTATTAGTTTTTTCCCACGGCTCGCAGATTGTCCGGACCCTCAAATAAACCGAACATGGGCTTTTTAAGGGTTCCAAATTTTGGTTCCTTGAGTAACTTTCAGAGCTTGACTCGTCACTGATCAGTTTTGCTGGACTTCAACTTGACAGGGAGGGGATAAAAGAAAGAGAATTGACGAGAGGGGTGGGGGGAGGAGGCGATTATTCGAGGGAGGCGATTATTTTAAATATTTCCATCAAAGGTGGTGATTATTCGAGGGACGGCTATTATTCGAGGAAATACGGTATTTGTTCGCCGCCTTCAAGAAAACGAAAGAACCCTCGCTATTTTAACTCTCAGGATAGAGGAATCCTTCCCTAATAAAGTTGGATTGGTCAATGACCTTTTCGGACTTCATTCTATTATAAACAAGCTTACAAGGGACTTTGTAAGAACTGTGGAAGAATGTGAACGTAATGCCCCACCATCGCCTCCATGCAACGAACGTCTTGTACATGTTGGTGTAACAAGGAGTGGGTTATAGTTGGCAGCTAGGCTACAGGTCGTACGGAACACCTTCAACCTTAGCTTCACGTTCGATTTGCCTTTGTCTTTGGGCACTTGTGAATAAGTTACCCAAAGAAACAAAATATTCCTCGAAATTAGGAAGCTAAGTCCGTACACCTTGCATGTTTTTCTTCTACCGACCCGCCATTTTGTCAATAATCATTTAGTCCCCAGGCTTTCTCGCCAAAGCCATTTGATCTCTCATTTCCGCTTCCTCATCTCGGTTAGTTTTATCGCACATCTTTTAGTTTTAACGAATCAGTCTTTTTGTGTTATCGAACATCTTTTACTTTTATCACATTGGCTTCCTCGTCTTTTAGTTTTATCGCACTTCTTTTAGTTTTATCGAACATCTTTTATTGCACGTAACATGGATGTATTCAGTATAACAGGGATGTGTGTTCACATGACATGATTGATGTAATGACATGTCGATATTTTGTCCGTAAAAACGCTCCATATTCTCACTCCAGTGGAGGTTCGGTGGAAAATCCTCCTAGGCGAGAATTTGCAGCCACTTGTTGTGCTTGCTGTTCTGTGTCATTTGCATGGGAAATTGCACATCAGCCCTTCATGGTCTGCTTCATGAATACAACATGAAAGTGCACCCTGATCATCGGCGGCAAAGTCTATGTTGCCTGGAAACCAAAACTGCGCCATGACGTCATGCTACACATGACGTCAGGGCAGACACCAAGCATATATTCATAGTAAGAAACATAGATAGAAAGATGGGGCGACCAATTTTGCAGCTGGCTAAGTCCACGCGCGACGAGATTATAAACTCGCTTCGCGTGAATGATCCAATGCAATTTGAGGTTGCAAGACAGTAAAAAAAGCCTTCATTCCGTGGGATGCCTGTGGCACTCCCATGGTAAAAATCCGGTTCGGTTGTACCCAAAATTGCAAAGCCAGCCAATAGGATTGCGTAAAATCTTTATCGATTATCTCTTCTTCCAAGCCGACCAATCAGATTGTACAAAATCTGTATCGATTTTTAATCGATTTGATTCCTCTGAAGAATGTTGAAATCAGAACGTTGCTTGCCAAATTTGTCGCCCTTGAGTTTTCCCACCCGTGGTTTAGGATGGCTTGTTAACCAGCGAGATCCTTCGGAATACTGGCAAGTCACGAAAGGCGACCTAAGCCAAATTATCTCTTCCCCTCATGATTCTTTTTTGTTTAGGTCTAGCTTTTTCATAAGGTTTTAGTAACGTCTGGTTGCGGGCCGTGATTTCCGATAGATTTTTCTATTCGGAGTTCGCCAGTTTTTGCTGAGCACAGCTAGAGTTCAGTTTTTTTCTTTTCTTATCGAAAAAACCTTGACGGTGGGAGGTTAAATCGCGTAAATTTCAACTCGTACCCTTGACGATTGGCGGTGAAATCGCAAAAATATTGTCCTCGTCGATCGACGACTCGCTTTCGGCATGGATTGGACTTCTGGATGGGACACGGATCAGGACCTTAGTAAACTTATTATACCTTGGAATCAGGGATAATCATTAGAACTATGTTAACTTTGAGACCTTGGAAACACATTGCAATTAATTTTTAACCGTATCAAGAGCGTCTTGGAATATTAAACTTTCATCTTGGATTAAAACATTGGAACTTTATCGCACTTTAATTGTAATCCTGGGTTCGACCATGGATAAAGCAAGCGGATGTTTTGTTTTTTTCCATTAACCTAAAACAAGAATGTTTATTTCTCTTTGAAAAAGTTACCTGTGGCAACTTACTAACCAGATATGACGTATCTCTATACATATAGTTCCTGTTAAGGTTAATCAGAGAACATTATGCGCATGTTCTCCATTACTTGTTTCCGTTAACATTCCAATTTAAGTAACACAGTTAAACCTTGTTTTGATGCAAAATAACCTCTTTTTCTTATCCAAATCGTGCTACGAAAATAACTACATAGCGATAGATCAAAACAAGATCAACTCCATCCTTGCAACCACTGACAACTATAAATTTAGCTTGCGTAGCAGATGCCGAAAGGGGTAGCCGGATAGGGAGGAAGCAAAAAGGGGATGTGGATTGGGGAGAAATAGTACCCTGCCACGCGAGCTACTTTAAATTCAGTCATTAGAACATTAAGCCAACCCATATAGGTAACCTACTCATCGATGCTCATAACATGACACATCTTTCCGGTTTCCCTAATTTTTCCAAATTCAGATAGAACGCCATTATGCTTCCAAACACCAACGCATCCCACGGAAACGACTTTAGGCGTCTTGTTTCATTGTATTTGCCGTCATCATTTAACAGGCTGCCTTGGCTACTTTGTTTGTGGTTTTTTTTTTCTTTATTCAAAGTGTATTATTTTCCAATATTGCTTGTAAAGGCGTTATTTATATTGTTTCCAAGTACTGAAGACAACTATACTTTCGATTTCGGTCCATCCGAACTAGGCGCCCGTTTGATCGACGAAGAGAATTGATGTATAATCAATATGCCGATTTACGTTTTGTAATCTCCTTAGGGTGGTCACGCAACACTCCTCCCTAGGGAGCGTTGGGAGGTGTGCATGGCATAATTTTTGTAAAAAGCACTCGTCACGCCAAAAAAAAGGAAACATTGCTAATGCGTTGAACAGCGTTGGAAAATCATTCTTCATCGTTTGACAAAGTTCATGGGAAGCGTTTCAAATGCATTACAAATCATTGAGAAACGTTGCAATGCATTTTAAAGCATTCAAATGTGTTGGACGATGCATAATATAATTTAATGTATGGGGCTGTGCGAATATCCTCATAAGGATATGGCATATGTAGCACCATTCTGCCATTTTCATTTCACTCTTCAGCAGTAGTCACATGCCCTTCTTAAGCGCCTAATTTTAAAAACTTGTTAGACTAACAGTTTTTAAAGTTAATTTTTGTTGTTTGTAATTTTTGATATAATACAAATTTTTGGGAGACATTTGTTTGACACAAAACTGTGATTTGCTATTCAGATGTAAATTATCAAATTCCATGGCGATTAAGGACAAGGTAAAGCCTTTTCAAAGCCCCCCCCCCCCTCACTCTATCAAAGCCCCCCTGCCCTAATTATTCTTCACTAATAAATGATAGGCTGTATTAATCAATCACGTCCGTAAAACTTCATGTGGACTGGTCCTGGGTGGTTTATTTACCAGCTGGAAGTTTGGATTTGATTCTGATCTTTGGCTGTATGAGCTTTTCCACTTTGTATTCCAGTTCTTTATGGACAGCTGATACCATCGTCTTTTCTAACTTAAGTAAGCCCACCCCTCTCTCAAATAAGCTCCCTCCCCCTCCCCCAAGGGCTTAATAGAGGATTTACGATGTATTACCAAGATGAACTAGATAACCCGTGACTCAGCGCCTTTAAGAAATTATGTTTCTTAACAGCTTAATGACAGTGGGTTCTTCTTGGATATAACTGGGGCAGCTACCTGAACACTAGTACGCACTTGCATACCTAAAAATATCAAAGATAAGTAGAAAGCAAAAACAAAATAGAAAAACAAAGCAAAGGAGCAGAAGGTATTAAAACAATAAATACCTAGAAAACGGTGCAACTGCCTAGGTAACTCTGATTTAATGTCCTTTAGATCCTTTTTTTAAAATGTAGACTAGCTGTGTGGAGGTGTTATCTGTTAAGAGCAAGATTTAAACTGAAAATTTTATGTTGCGTTGTTTTGTTTTCAATACTAGCTTGTTTATTATTATTTTTCTGGCCCCAGTTGCTCAAAAGATGAATAGTACTATCCATTTGATATCTCTCCAGGCGAAAAAGCACTTGATTTCCTTAATGCGTATCCACTGGATAGTGATTTATCCAGCGGATAGCATGATCCTTTGTTTGAACAATCGGGGCCTGATGAAGTTGAGAGATTTAAGTCAAGGTTCTTGGTCGTTTTTTTTTTTGTCTTATCTCATAGCCCACTGTTCAGCAGCCAGCAGGTTATTGGGCAGTACCAGTGGGCGGCATGCCAGGAGGGGTTGTACCAGCAGGGGCCATGCCAGGAGGGGTTGTACCAGCAGGGGCCATGCCAGGAGGGGCTGTTCCAGCTGGGGTCATTCCCGGTACAGTCCCCGTGTCCAATGCTGGGGTAACTGCTCCAAGCCAGGGAGGAGCTCAGGTAACACACTCGTTCTTTTATCCCTTTAAGGCCCTAGAGCGATCAACATCAATTTTCTCCTAACAATATTAATACATAATCAAGAGAAAAAGCTATGAGAATTAATGAAATGATCACCATTGCAAAATGCTTTGATCTTTATCAACTCAACTAATTCTTTGAAGAAATGTATAGAAATCAGTCTGAAGAATTTATGTTCACATTGGGACTCGGATGGAACAATTTGTGTATAGGTGTATGCACTTAATTTCTACCATCTTGTTCTTATTTAGTCAAGTTTTTTTACCTAAAATGTTTTGTAATTCAGGTCCCCATCTTACTTAGCCTGTGTCATGCAGGGAGAGGATGTGTATACACAGGTTACATCTTACTCGGTGAATCTTGTTTCTTTTACTGTTTGCATTTAAAGGTACTGGTATTACATTCCTGGTTCTTGTTGCAGTACCAACGGATATGCATTCTTGCCAATAATGAGTTATCGGTACTCGGGTTGACAAGGATGTCTTATCATTGTCATGTTTGAATGTATTCTGATCATAACTCCATTTTTAATAGCAAGCAATGAAGAGTGAAGTTGGACCTCCAGCATATTTCTACAATACACAGACAGGAAATGCCCCACCATCAATGGCATCTGCAGGCGGAGTCACTGAGGATGTACCTGGAGCTATGACAGTTTAAACAAAACTGCTGCAGCTAAACTAGACTCGTTTTAGTAGCTTGAATGTGTCATAGAGTGACAGTTGCCTTAGCTTGTCCGTAAATAATTTATTTTTATTTGCACATATTAACCCAGCCTTGGCTTAGAGTTAATGATGGAGTCTTGTTAGATGGTTTCATCTTTTTAAAAAGTCTTCAGACCAAATGGGGCTCGAAATTAAAAAAAAGGTCACCTTTTTGCGACCAACTGGAGAAACTAAGTCGCCAGATGCAAATTTTTAGTACCCAGTTTCTATAATGTACATGACGCAGCTCATATTATGGCGCGATCCATCAGATTTGATTGTTTTAGTTGAAAATACCGCAGACAGAAGTCGGTATAAATTTGGAGGTAAATTGGTTTTGTTTATGCCATTTGGCACATTTTTTATGACGAAAGCAAAGCAAGGTAAGATAAAATATTTGTTTTAACTTTACTCTTTTAATCTAAATCTAAATCAGGGAGAAATCTGGTCGCCAAAGTAGCGACTAAAACAGAATTTTTGGTCGCCAAGGAGAAAATGTTAGTCGCATTGGTGACCGTATCAGTCGCAATTTCGAGCCCTGCCAAATACTACAGTGTGGCGATTTGAAAGAAACATCCTTTAAGCAGTACTTACACATAATACTATCTATTCAAGTAGTTGTAACTTTGAGTCTGTGGATGAAATCGAATGGTGTGATCATTCAAATGAACGCAAATGAGCAGTTCTCTCCCTGGTACTGTTTATTATGCTGTGCAAGGTGGTTCCAGCTTTTTTTAGTCTGCGTGTGAAATTCTGTAGTACAGCTGTATAACCACTTAAATGAAATCTCTTTAGGAGTGCGTTCTGGCAGTATTGTTATTATTATTTTTTATTATTATTATTATTTTTTGGGGGGGGGAGGGCATTTTTAAGAAATGAAATTAAGATTTCTTTTGTCGAAGTGGCAGAGTCATACACCCCAATATCGCGCACGGAACCGTTACTTGGATCATCATCAGACTCGTATCCAGTCACTATTTATGTGTTTTTGGGTGGGAATCGTACCTTCCCATGAGACCCCGCGCGCCACAACCTAACCCCCAATCTTCTCTCAGCCCAAAAAGACGTAAATAGCGACTGGGTACAAGTCTGGGTCATCATAAAGATTGTGCACTGTTCTTGCGTGGCGACCCAAATGACATGTGGGAGATTACAACCTAGGCACTTGGTTTATGTGTGTGTCGACTGTGTCCTATGAAAAAATTATTCATGGCAAAAATTTGCCCCGGTGATATTGCCTCAGAAGGAAGTTCCTTCCTGCTACATTGTGCGGCTCTGACGTGACCTTTTGCCTTTTGCAATTTTTCAAATGAAGAGCTTTCTTGCATACTGTAAAAGTCTTTTGTCAGTCAAAAGTGTAGTTTATGTTGATTCTTATTCTACATGTTTAACGTCTCTTTTTGTTGACGTCAGTAGTACCAGGAGGACAATAGTACCAGTAAGAACAGTTTAATTTAGCATCTGTTTAGATACTTTACGTCGCCAGGATTTCAAAACTGTGTGTTCGGAACGTGTATAACAACGTGCAGTTGTATAATACATTGTAAGTGTGGGTCACACTGTGACATTTTCATTAAAAAAAATATCGTGCCTTTAATTTACATTACAAATTTCCAGGTAACAGTTCTCTTTTTACTTTTTGTCATGGGCATAGAAATTTCAAAACCCAGCATTAATTCTAAAACTGAAGAGTTTCAGTTTCAGTGGTATTGTTATGACACCTCATCTTTAAAATAATTTACACATACCATAATATCTTAGCCTGATAATAAGACGGTCGGATACTACAAAAATGACGATTTCCCCGTACGGTATCAAGGTATTGCGCATCAATGGTTTCAGTCACATTTAGGGGACCGCACACAAATGTGTTCCATCAATGGTCTCCTCTCTCCTCTCAATAAGTTGCTCTTTAAGTTGTGTTGTCCCTAAGGGTACTATTTTAGGTCCATTACCAGGAGCCGATTACTTCCATTACTATTCCTATTATATATTAACGATCTTCCCAACTGCCTGTCAAATTGCAAGCTTCGGATGTACGCTGATGACGCCCAACTTACATACGCGAGCGACAATATTTACAATATTCAGGCAAGTCTAAACGAAGACAATGAAAATGTTCACGATTGGCTAAGAGCAAACAAACTCGCTCTAAATATGACTAAAACCGAAGTCATGTTAATTGGATCTAGGCAGAGGCTAAGCACTGTAACAGAAACAACAACAACAAAACTTTATTAATAAACAAATAAAATTACAGAAGTATTGCCCGCAGCTGAGCAAGGCTATTCGAGGCGGGACAATGCGTGCAAAATATGAAATTAAGACTAAGGCTACTAACTAAGGAAAGTTTACAGTTTACAAATAAATTATGGACTAGATAACAAAGTAAAGAAAAAAATAATTAAACAAATAAATTTTGAAAGTAGAAACTAATAAGCAAGAATTTATTTTTGGACATTTTTGGCTTATTTTACCTTTTTAATTAATGTGGGCGCATCAATATAGTCGTCTTCTGAATTCAGAATATCAAAAAGTAATTTGCGGAGTGTTTTTTTTTTTTAATTTATTCTTGGGGGGATGTCGGATGTGACAGGGTATCTCATTCCACAGCTTAGCCCCAAAGCGAGAGAAAGACAGTTTATATAATTCTAGATCGGAATTATTAACATAAAAATTTCTTGAAGCCGATGCTCTTGTATTGTAGGAGTGGCAGCTACTTGTTTTTTGAAATAGATTTAGAATGCCAGAAGGTACCCTATTGTTATGGACATCATGCATAAGTTTAGATGTAGTCCGATATAAAAAGGTCAAGGGTAAAACGTTGGCGTCAATGAAGAGGGGTATTGCGTGATCGCGTCTGTCCGAGACGTTTATTACCCGCAGAGCTCTTTTTTGTGGCAATAGAATTTTGTTGAGATGTGTCTTTTTTGCTTGGCCCCAAGCAGCAAGTCCATATGTAATATACGGGTAAACAAGTGATTGATAAATTTTAAGAAGAATTTACCGGGGTACAAAATGACGCAATTTCGCAAATGAGCCAACCGTTTTGCTGATTTTTTAAGAGACAGTATTAATATGATGTTTCCAGGTAAGGTTTTTATCAATCAAAATGCCAAGATATTTAATATATTCCTTGGATTCAAGCGTAGCATATTCATTTTTCTCATTGTCAAATAAACATATTTTAGGTTTATAATTAGGCTTTTTTTGTTTAGGATGAAATATTACAAAGTTGGATTTACTAATGTTAAGAGTTAGCTTATTAGATGTTAACTAGTCGTAGAGTTTGCACAATTCAGTATTGACTACTGTTTCAAGAACTTTCAAATTTTTTTCAGCAAAAAGTATATTGGCATCATCAGCGAAGAGATAGAATTTAAGTTTAGTGGAGCACTGGTGAATATCATTAACATACAACAAAAAGAGAAGAGGACCTAAATTGGAACTTTTAGGAACTCCAAAGCTGATTGTGGCTTTATTTGATATGTGGTCAGCAATTTGAGTAGTTTGGGTGCGGTTATTAAGATATGAGGAAAAGCATTGGTTGATTAATCCACGGAAGCCGTAGAAGTTGAGTTTATCTCGCAGAATATTACGGTCAACGGTATCAAAAACTTTTTTGAGGTCAATAAACACACCACAAGAGTATAGACCTTGATTCATGTTGGCCTGGATTGCATTAACAATGTCTAATATAGCATGTTGAGTAGAATGTCCTTTGCGAGAGCCGTACTGGGAAGAGTAAATCTAATTGTGTTCCTCAATGTAATTCATCATTCTGGTATACATGAGCCTTTCAAATATTCTGTTGAAGTTTGATAATAAAGATATTAATAGGTCTTTAATTATTTGGGTCCATCTCATCACCGGATTTAAAAACAGGCACAATTTTGGACAATTTCAATTGTGTAGGATATCTCCCTAGGTTGATAGAAATATTAAATAGTTCCGAAAGAACAGGGGCTATGATGTCAATTGAGCATTTTAGTAACTTTGTCGGGGAGGAGTATAAACAGTGTGATTTGTTATTAGGTAAAGATAATATTTCCTTCTTTACACAATCATATGTTATTGGTTGGAAAAAGAAAGATGGCTTCGGAGACATGTTTTTGTTTACAAAGTGGAGATAATGTTGTTGGGAAGATTGAAATTTACTTGCGAGCTTACTCCCAACAGACGCAAAATGTTCATTGACAATGTTAGGAATATGTGAAGAATCCTTGACTAGTTTATGCTTATTGTTTGGGTCCTTAATTGCAGTTAAGATTTTTCTTAAGGCGAAAAAATAACTCATTAATACCTGTCCACGTTTTTTTAATATTTGACATGTTGGCTTCAAAGTAATCACTGAAGTAATTCTTTTTGCTGATACGTATTAGACTTGAAATTTTATTTCTATAATATTTTACCTTACTTCGTCGCCCAGTGCGTAGAGTTTGTTTTTCATCCTTACAGATACGTTTAATCCAGTGGTAATCCAAGGCTTGGAAAGTACTTTTCTTTTGCGACTAGATGCTTCTTTCATGGGGGCATGTTTATTAACAATTGTGTTGAATTTGTTATAAAAGGAAGAAAACAACACGTCCACATTATTTTTACCGCTACTAAGAATGTCATCCCATTGAACATTGGAAAGATCATCACTGAAGCGAACAGCAGAGAATTTTGAGTAGTCGCGAAGTTTAATAGTTTAGCTTAGTTTTACCTTTGTTGCGTTCCCCTGACGTCGAACGCAACACATAATCTTGAGATTCCTGTGGTACTCAGTTGGGATTCCTGTGATACTCAAGGGTAACCTTTTCAGCAAGCGTGGTTCGTTGTACGTCTGCATTTTCTGCGCCATCTTCAATAATTTAGCTCGCGTTATTTACGTCATAAGCAATTGTCACAAACGCAAATGGCAATCATGTGCGTCACTCTGGTTCCATCAAGGTCAACAAGACGATTACACGGAAATGTTTGAGTTCGGCAAAAGAATGAACTTTGGAGTTGTTTTCTAAGCGGGTTTTATCACTGAGCTGATGATTCTGCTACACCTTTTTCGGTCAGTGCCGTTCAAATCGAGCTGGAACTTCGTAGAAACACGCAATTAAAAACCAGGTAACATTTGCGCAGTGAGAAGTTTACCCGTGCGTTTGAGTCTATTTACATATTTGTAGTTTAACCTCACACATGCACGAAAAATATTCTGGGATAAAGTAAGCTCGAAGAATTTTATCCGCGTATCAGTCCAGGTTGTTACAGCTATAATGCTTTATTCACGTCTGATATATCTACGCGGGCCATTTTGCATGATAAGTATCTCGCTCGCTCAGAAGCAAGCTAAGTTTAAAACATGTTGAATGACCCACATGAACTTAAAATAATCATGAGATGAAAAGGTTGCACGATGGCAAAAGATTCTGTCCGGTTCTCTGACATCAGTAATCTAGCAAAAACCTAATATGTTTCTGTCGCTGCTATGATCATTGTTTTCACTTCAGTTGTGTCACGCAAGAAGCCAGGACTTTTTTAACCTTCGAGGCTACCATTTTTTCGAAGTTTGTAGTGACATGTTATCTTTTTAGCAACATAGAACTTTTTACGATCTACTTTACATTTTTATCGACCATACTTGAGGGAGAGTAAGACATGTTATGAGTAACCTTGAACCAAACATTTTGCTTATTATCAATGAATGAAGTTAGTAAGATCTACATCCAAGTCTGCATTATGGAACAACCTCTCCAACATATACACTATTATATATATATATATTATATTAATATCTCTTCAAATATGTTTGGTTCCAACAGTCAGATATTACTCTTTTTCTTCCTTCTCATCCACTTAAAAGATCACTCCTAGGACGCCGGTTAATGACATCTCTACTGTTTCCAGCTTTTTGGAGATTAATTTTTTGTGACGTAATGTGGCAATCTCTTCTTCCAATTTTTGGATTTTAGTGAATAGTGCATTGAGTTCAGTTTCCTTATTGCGGATCTTGGTGTCCAGTTTTCTTATCTGATCGTCCATTTATACTATTAGTTAGATAAATCTTGTAAGCTGCTCAGCGGAATCCAGGAATTAAAGTCGTCGCTATATCCCAACCATTTCACAAGAGCTTGTTTCTTCTTGTAATCTCTCCGAATGATTTTATCAATGCGGAATATATCTTGTGTTGCCTTCAGTAATTTCGGTTCATAAAAGCTCTCTTGTATCTCCTCGTTGTTGAGATCCTTTAATCTATGGGTAATTGGATTTGTGGATTGGATTTTATCAATTAGGAATATCTCTTCAGTCCAATTAACTGTGTAGCCTTTGTCAAATACTTTTCTTTTGTACTTACTTATCCTGACTTTATCGCCAATCTTAAATTTGGGCTTAGATGACAATTGCTCCACATCATCATATAGATTAAAATACACGGTACTTTCATTCTTCTTTTTACTGGCTTCTATAGGTGTCATTTTAATGGAACTGTGCTTAGTGTTGTTATACTGCTCCAGTATTTTTGGTAGTATGTCTAAAAATGCTGTATTACCCTGGACAGTAAATTGCTTCCACATCTTGGTTTTGATTGTACGGTTCCATCTTTCACAAACACTAGATTTTCCCTCATTTTCGGTTGAGTATAATGTTATGCTATTCTTTTCCAACAGTTCCTTCATGTGTTTGTTATAATACTCTTTCCCTTTATCAGTCCATGGATATTGTAGTTTACGGCCTTCTTTGAAGATGGTTTTGAAGGCTTCTGTGACAGTTTCTCCTTTTTTATCCTTTAATGGGACAATCCAACCATATTTGGACAACAGATCTAACACCATGAGAAGATATCTGTAACCCTTGTTCCATTTGCTAAATTGCTGCATTTCAACCAGATCAGAGCACCAAATTTTGTCGATACCGTTTACAATAACACGCCGCCGAGTAATGTTGCGCTTTATGGGTTTATGTAATTCATCTGCTAATTGCTGTTGCCAGTTTTCTTCACTCGACGGCTTTTTTAGTTTAAACCAGAACCAGTTTAGGTCAGTGTAAAACGCAAACTGCGGACTGCGGGCTGCAGACAGGGGACCAGGGGTAAAATGCAGACTGAGTGTAAAATGCAGACTGCAGACTAAGAGTAAAACGCAGTCCGGGGTAAAAGGCAGACCGAGCATAAACCGTAGTCGTGGAAGGGTTTAAGGGCGAAAAAATCCCGCAAATACATATAAACGAGCACTTACTTGACGACATCTGCTTTCACAAATCCATTCCTTTCTTCTCTGGAACGTCGTCGACGACCCGAAAACATAATCGCAATCTTGAACCTTTTTTCCATTCGAGACTTCACGCTTCAACTTTGGATGCGAAGTTTTCGATATACGCATAATCGTCATGGACTAACATGTATTTACCTCATGGTTTCGCGATCCAAAATTCTTTTGTTTGAATGCCTGTTTTTTTATCAGTTATTCCTTTTACAATTTTGCCAGAATCATAGTTCTTGAACATTTGCTTAGTTTAGGGAAATAATATGGTTGAAATTTTTTTACCAACATCGATGCCTGCGCCATCAACTAGGTCACCAAGGCAAGGGGAAATAGATCTTATACAGATACAAAATTAAGCAAAACTGGTGGTGTAATGACGGACATGAATAATAAAAAAATTTATAATTTAGCTCAGCCAAATGGCGATAATCAGCGTGCCAATAAAATTTACAGTGATAATAAGTTTTTATCCAAAACTGGTGATGTAATGGCTGGCAATCTTAATCTGTCCAATAATAGAATAATCATTGTTGGGGCACCAACGTCTCAAAAGGATGGTGTTAATAAAGAGTGGGCAGAGAGTAACTTTTTGAAACTGTCTGGTGGGCATATAACCGGTGATTTATCTGCCGCTAGTCGACCTGGTGTGCATAATGAAAGTGTTCTGAATTTTATCAATATGAAATACTTTTTTATTGAGAAAAGGAACCCATATATATATTAAATAGCAAGTTTAATGCAACTAAACAGAGGATTTATAATCTGGGCAACCCGACAGATGAATTAGATGCTGTTAATAAGCAGTTTTTGGAACAATCCCATGTTAAACCAACGCATAAAGAAGACCAATTTAAATACCTCATGCAAAATAAGCTAGAATGGACTGATATGTATGGCAGCAGTTTTAATACATATATGGTAAAGATTGCGGATCTACTGCAGCATGATGGTAACCCCCACACATATAATCATAAAGTGATATATACACCCATTAATAAAAATTCAGATGAGAACTTTGATTACAAACTTGGGATACAGTCCTTTAGTCTTCAAAAAGTCAAAGATTATACTCTCTGTATTGATTTCCTTATCACAGATTACCAATTATGGCATAAGAGTGTTGTTTCCGTTGATAAAATTTCATCACAGGGGTTGACTATTGGGGATAGCATAAATAGAAAGTTTAGTCATAAATATACAACATCCCCAGGGCAAGTGGAAAACATGTACTACATCCGTTTCATAGTTAATTTTAAGAAGACAGCAGATTCAGCTCCTTATAGTTTACACGTGAAAGTGGACATCAAGAACGTGGGAAATGATCTGAGCACATATGCAGCAAAATGGACACAGAATTATATCGTAGCCTATGGATTGCTAGGAGAGGATACTATCATAGATCCAGAGTTGTATGACTACCACAAAAAGTTGTTTACAATGTTCATCTTAATATGAACCGGAAGAGGGTGCTAAATATTACTCTGGATAAAAACCGTAGTAATAGCGCTGCAACTGGGGAGTTGGTCACGGATCTAGAGGCAAAATTGGGCCCTTATACAAGAAATAATGTGTACAGGGAAATATTTGTAGAATTTTATGATTTCAGTGATGCTAACAATTATAAACTGACAACAGGAATGTCAGGTATCACATTCACAGGAATAAATCCCAACATATCATTCCCCCAAAGGACTATTACCCATGTTCAGGAGGGTGGATTGAGATTGCAAAGTCAAACAGTGGATTTAACATTATTCAGCAGAATGAGCTTCACAATATGTGTTGTCATGAAACTATGGTTGAATAGAGCAATGAGTATAAAAACGGATATAAACAATGGAACTTATGAAAGACCACATTTAATTTATGAACATGTAACAAAGACATTAGCCTGTTCCAGGCGTTCAGATAGTGGGGAGCGGTGCGAAGTAAAAAGGGGCGCGAAAAAATAAAAGCGAGGGAGGGGGAGAGGTGAGAGAGGGAACGCTGTTAGATTTGTTTTAAATAGACTCATCCGCCCACTCAGACCGCATCAGCTGTAGGTGGTCTTCACTTGTCAATCAAGACTGATGTTACAGCCCCATACATTTCTTATTTTTCTTACGAATAAATCAAAATTTCTCAGATCAAAAATTAATATTATGTATACATAATCTTACTAAAAACCTAATATAAGACTTTCAGACAATAGAGAGCGGGAGAAGTAATTTATTTACGGCTTTAAAACATGATTTCAGCGTGTACGTGACAAAAAAATTATGAATCAAGTGACATCATTCATTCAGTGACATCGCTCATTTCAATAGAAAGCCGTTTCAATACAGATCGTTAACTCGAGCAATGAAAATGCCCAACAAACGAAGGGAAAATTAACTATTCGGTGATTGAGTGGACCTCGTCAATAGCGATAGCTGCAACTTGCTTTCCAAGCTTTCCTTTTGAAGTGTTTTTGTCCATTCCTTAGACAACCACGATTTGTGACTGCAGTACGCCTTTGAGTGAATTTTTAAGGATCATACAATTTCACAGCTTCTACTTTTAACGGCTTCATCCACATCTTCTCCCATCATCGCCGCCGCTGCTCCGATTTTGTTCAAATGTTCCACTTGGTCTTTCATGATGGCAATCAACGGAGTTACCAAAACAATCGTAAATGGCATTCTATCCTGCCTTCATTCCAACGCACGCTTTATTCGAGGAAAAAGCTGGAAAATAAGTATTTTTCCAAAGCCAGTCGGTGAAATTGCGAAGACATCTATCCTGCTGACTACGTGTTTTAAACAGTTCCTTTGCTCTTCGCGTTTAGCCTCCACGTTTGGAAAAACTCTCAGCGCTGTGTTTGTTGCGAGTTCGAATTCTGCGTGACGGGACGTAGAGTCTGTCATCACCGCCATATCGCATTTCTCGCTGTGATCCAAGACGCTTCACTGTTGACAAAAACTGTCAAAATCAACCAATCAGAGGGTATACCAGGATCTGGTATACCGGAACGCACTTTTGTTAAAAATTCTTACGAGAGTTCCCGCACTTCTCTCCCCAGTTCCCCTCTACTTTTCATTGCTTTCTTTACTTCGCACCGCTCTCCACTATCTGAACGCTTGGAACAGGCTACAAAGAGATTAAAACTACAAACTACTGGCTATAGACCGGGACCAAAACAGTGATCAAATATACCAGGGCCACCCGATGAAACTTCTATCACCTTACCAAGCAGTTTTAATGGTAAACGAGTTGTGTTTTGGCTAACTAAAAAAGGTAGGGGTGGGCCTTCACCAGTGGTCAAAGCATCGATATCTAATCATTCCTCAACTTTAACACAAGGCTTTGAAGGTGAACAAACATCATCAGTTAGATTTATGGAGTGATGGGCATTCTCTGTTCTGAATGAATCACTACTGTCATCAAATATAAATTAAAAATAAGAAATCGATTGTCGAACACAGGAGCTGTTACTCAAGAGTCGCTTCAAAATATTAGCTTGGGAAAAATCTCAGTATCTTTTAGAGTTAAAGAAAAATAAAAGTAATGTTCGTTTTTTCGGTGTATATGCATTTGTTTTGTTTGCAAGTGAGCTTATGAAATGCTCAAGTTACTACATAATCACATGTAATTGTTGCTGTCTCAGACTCAATCCATTCTTCATTCCTTGTGGAATATATATTTTACATATTTTTCCGCGAAAACTCTCAAAAAACTGTAAAAAAAAACCCATAGATTTCATGTTTTGTGGCATCTATAAACGCGTGTCTCCGCCATCAGTTTAACATGAGACATCGCGCTAATGAATAAACCGCAAGTAGTAAACAATTTTTTCGCTTTTCTTAACTCAACTGATTAACATTGCCACGATGCATTTCTTCCTAGATATTAAGTTTGGAAATCAAACCATAGAAATACATTGCTTTGCTAGTGAAAATCAGACTTGTACAGGAACAGTGATTTTTGGCGTTGAGTCTTGAAAGTCTTTAAAATGTCAAGAAAACCTAATGCTGAAAAATCCCGCTTTGGAAACGTCCGATTTTTGTCATAGAGAACATTTTTTGTAGGAAAGTACGATATTCAAAGCACCAACGAAATAGCTTTTAAAAGGACTGTAACTTTACGCGAGTTTTTGATTTCCCGCCATCAGATTTGATGCCCCCACGCTCTTGTCGTTCAGCGGATGCACGCATGCGCATGCAAAATGCCCTCCTGTTGTGCGCGCCTAAAGCTGG